AAAAAATCAAATTTTAAATTCCGTTACAATCGGCTTAATAAGTTTCCGCAAAAATTTCTGATGGAATGGAGAATGTTTCATAGAAAATCTTTAGAGAAATTTTTTGAAATCTTACTTTTATAACGAACTGCGAACATCGGTGCAGATGTGGAGTTCTCTTCGTGTAGCTGCCGCCATGCTGAAAGTACTCGTGAAAATTGAAGAGAATCTGAGGAGAATTGAAGTTCTTCTCGTGACTGTGAAAAGACTGCGAGAAAACCACATGAAAATTTGTCAATCCGAATGAAAAATGATGCGATTCATTTAAAAGAGAATTGTAATCACAAAAACAAGATAACGATAATATCAAATGAACAACTGCTCTCACCTATATTACCCGTATTTGACCGGAGAGCTGCCAGAACGTTGGCTTCCGTGGCCACAAAAATGAGATCAGATTTTGAGGATTTAGAACGATCGAAATGAACTTGTTTGGTACATCCGACGTATTGTTGACGCCTTTAAGCGAAACAATTACGACGACTTATCAAAATTGTAAAAACTATTGTCCAATGACGACCTCTTTCCGAACTTGTGAAAAATTCCGATGAAAAATACTGCTATATGATCGTGAGATAATCAACCACATGACTACGACAGTTATGGTAGATGTCAACACAATGTATTCGCTACGCAGAACTGGGCATTTGGAGGTTTTAAGTGTAATTTGAAATAAATTAAGGATTAAAAGCAAACCAAAAGGAAATTAAACACTCACCAATCGAATTTTCCAACTTGGTCTTCGAAAATCGCATTTACTGAAGGAATGAAACAAACAAAAATTGCCAATAAAATGCTGCTGCTGGTGGTTCGTTTGGTCACCATACTTTAATGAGAACGATGACAGACTAAAAGTAAAAAAGTGTAAAATTTTACAACCGTCCAAAGCCTAGCGGAAATCACTTAAAGATCTGTAAACGTTCAATTAAGAGCAAGCATAAGCACGAGTTCAAGACAACTGCGTAAAGCTTGAAAACGGAAATAGAATCGGAGGAAAGCACTCATTTCCTCAACGAGTTCGTTGGTTTTTCATCTTCGTCATTTTGTATTATATTTGGTGCGTACGCACTTCGCCATATGCGCGTGTCGACGGAAGGAGGGCGGAGTCACGACCGCG